CACCACCTGCGTCAAAAAGTTATCCTCGATGCGCTGCGGGAACCTCCTCGACTGTTGGTGTCTAGCTGTGCTCTCTTCCCAGCAGATGTCAGGGTGGTTGAAGTGCCCCATGAGAACCAGGGCCTGTGATGGTGAGGCTACTTCCAGCGCTCTGTGGAAGGCCTCATCGACTTCCTCTTCCTGATCAGGTTACTTCCTCTTCCTGAGCAGGTGAAACATCCCCAAATAATATCCAGCTGATCTACAGGAATGGAAGCAACCTTGTGTTAAAAATACTTTTATTTATAGTTTTTCCTGGAAAACCATTTGTGGCCTTTGGTGGAAGTACAGGTTAAATTGCAATGGGGCTTTTGGGATCACCTTTCTGAAGAAGGAAGAAGCATATAAGCAAGTGCGTATTGCGGCAGGCACATCACGCTACGCAAAGCTGTGTGTATGTAAATCTAATTATACCCTTTCCCTTCATGTTTGCTACAGACAGAACCTGCCACAGCTATTAACATTAGAGCTGCATTTTTTTGTGTCATTTTAATGCATGCTACTGTCCCTTTTCAGACATTTCTTTGAAACCCTGGTCCAAGTGCTCCCATCTCCTGTGCATTCTTCCCAGGAAGCATGTGTTGCCTTTCTCAGTTCAGCAGTATAGAGGCTCCTTCTGTGCCTTTTCTGAGTTTTACCGGCAGATGGCAATAAATATAATTGAGTTGCAGAGCAAAGCTTCACTTGCAGCTGTGCCAGAAGAGTTGGTTAGTAGTCTGTGGAAGACGTCTGCTTGCCCAGCTCTGGTGCAGCTAACTGTATCGCTTACTTAACCAAAAGCTAAACAAGAGCAATTCTGTTGTGCCCAGCATAAATTTGGGTAATAAATAGCTGGCTGTGCAGCCTCTACCTTTGTCCTTTCTCCCTGCAGAGTGCAAGAGCCCAGAAGAGCTCTATGGTAAGGATCGTCAGTGGTCCTTGTACCATTGTTCATGTGTACACATCTTGTACTGCTCCTCTTTTGCCCTTCTAGGGGCTTAGCTCTCTCCTCCCCTGAGTTACGTGACCAGCTTTTTCAGTACCCAGGCTGATTTGACAATGTCACAAGGCTGACAAAGTGGCCTTTACTGAATTGGTTGTGTCCTGGCATTTAGGCCCTGGCAAAACTTTGCAATATTGATCACCGCTGCAGGTCCATGGGATGTTCTCCATGTAGGTCCAGTCCCAGAGTTAACTTCAAAATCCTGCAAAAACATAAAGTGCAATGCCATGTTCAGCTGAGCACAGAAGCTCTGTGCAGGAAGCTGCACTTTTAGCCAAGATGATGTTTTGTGATATCTGGATCCTTTTGTGGTCGTGCTTTCCAGATCTGCATTTTCTATACTGTCAGTTATCTCCTTGTGATCTTCTTCAACGGGACACTCCATGCCATTCTGCTGTGGTTTTCACCATTTATTGTTTTCTCTTTCTGCTTTCTCTTTGATCTTGCCCTTTCAAGCAGAACAGGGAGTGTTGGGGTCTGTCACCACCTGGATTAATAACAAGCCTTTCTGGAGAACAGCCCTATAACCACAAAGGGTATGGAAGGAACAGGGCTGCCCAATGGACACAGATCTGTTATGTCGTCATATTCAGTGCCATAAACTTGGAGCATGGAGATTTGCTTTTTTCCTCCCATAAACCCTTCCTACTGTTCTTCACAGAAGGTGTCCAGACAAAAACTGCCATCCTTTCTTGTAATCATTAAATCTGCTTCCCAGCCTCTTTTTATTTCTTTAGGTTAGCTGCCCGCAGCTGGCTTCTGAAAGGTGGAGGAGGCCACCTAGATGCTGAGGTTCCCTATTGGGGAAGAAATTTCATAGTCTGAATATGCACTTACTGATCCACATCTGTCCCGTAGTAGTGTCACTGAAGTTGCCAAGATTAGTTCTACATAAAGTGTTCTACCTGTATGATCAACGTAAAGGTTTTTGTTAAGATAAGCAAAAATTGCAATCATGCATCTATTTCCAGATGTTTCTTTTCAACAACATCATGTTTTGTGTTCATTGTGCACTGACTCTTCACTGTTGGGAAGAGAATGGTGTGGAATCACAGTGCATGCCTGCTGCAAAGGGGGAGGCTGTAAAGTTCACATCAGAACAGGTGTGTGCTGCCTGCTCCAGTGATCTCCACAGCCTTAAGGTATCCAACTCTTCTTCCCTTTCTACAGGCTTTCGTCTGAATGCCTCCTCTTGGCCAATGTTTCTTCTGAAGACTCTGAATGGAGCAGAGATGGCTCCCGTCCGAATTTTTCACAAGGTATGTTACTTACCATTTGTGAAGACATCCATATAGCATGTCCCCTTTATTGCAGAACACCAAAATCACACCTAGTTTCTTATGTGGAAACTGCTGATCCCAGAGAAGAGAGAGTCAACAGTGCCCAGCTTTGTCACAGTACTGTTTTTTAGGACAGAGCTGTATATTTTGCAGCTGCGTTGTGTAGCAGGTGTCAGGATGCAGACTGTGGTATACAAGAAAGGGTTTCAAAGCTTGGGCTTGAGAAATTTGCTTGTTTTTCACCTAGGCTGCAAGTGCTACTCAAAGTCAGGAGAAGCAAAGTAAAAGTCAGCAGCTCTCTCTGGAATGTTTTATTGTACCAGAGATTGCAAGGAGTGCAAGCACCCTCTATTGCTTGTAAGATAGCCCTGCAAGTATGGCTTCTTAGTGTGTATTCTCATGCCTTAGTGAACTCAGAGAGAGACAGAGGCCAGTCTAGAGTCATATGCTGTGGTACAGAATGGTTGGGGCAGCATTACTATATCTGAATCTGGAAGACCAGGAAGAACAAGCCCCAGATAAGGATGGCTAGTGGATTTCTCGCATGTCTAGCAAAGCTGAAGGTGGGGGAAGAACAATGGAGAGAGATTGTTACATCTCAATTTTTCCTGCCCTATCAGAGACATAAGGTGAGAGTATCTCACAGAGACTAGTTGGAGCTTTGTTGTGTGTTGCATGACAGAGTTGTCACAGGGTGGCCATGTTGAATTACCACTGTCTGGATTTGATCTAGCAGCCTGGGGATCCCAGAGCAGCCAATAATGGACTTTGCTAAGTCTTGACTTAAAAGACATGGTTGCATAGCTGGGCTAACTTGTGGACTTCTAAATTGGGGATCAAATCTAGCCCAGTAGCTCCCTTCACCTGCTCGTGGAGGTGAGTTTACTGATTGAGGGGATAGCCCCAGTCTGGGGAGGCACTGGTGTATCCTCTTTGAGCATCTTTTCAACTTCTCCTTGTAGGAGCCACCATCTCCATCCCAAAACTTCTTCAAGACAGGTATGAAGCTGGAGGCAGTGGACAGGAAGAACCCTCACTTCATCTGCCCGGCCACCATTGGGGAGGTGAGAGGTTCTGAGGTCCTCATAACATTTGATGGCTGGAGAGGTGCCTTCGATTACTGGTGCCGATATGATTCCCGGGACATCTTTCCCGTAGGCTGGTGCTCGCTGACTGGAGATAATCTGCAGCCTCCTGGAACAAAAGGTAAGGTCCACATTGTTGCTTAGCTCTCTTCCTCTTCCTCTGAAACTATCAAAGGACAGCAACACAGGAACACAGGCAGAGACTAGCAGGAAGCTCATCTGGGTGCTCTTTCTTGCTTTGTTACTACTACTTCCCATGCATTGGGGTACTCCCTTCCCCCTCCCCCGTACCTCAGCTGTCAACTTCTAGAAAACCTTGTAAAAAGGCACAGATCACTGTATCTATTAGCAGCAAAGCGGAGAGCCTAGAAACAAAAGTATTAAGTAACAGCTATTCTTAAAGGGCAGGGTGATGGCTTCTTTTCTGGAGGGGTGGAAATAGTGTGTGACCTTGCTAAGCCCTGTTCCTTTTTAGGAATTTCCTCAGAGTCTTTTCTGTGTCTCCATGATGCACACATTCCTAGGGACCTGCTCTCCGGTGGGGCTGGGCTACTTACGGCTATAATAAGGGAATAATTTGAACTGTCTGTCTTTAAAGTATCTCTGTTTCTTGTGGAGAAAAAAAGAAGTGAGACTGATGGGGATGAGATCAGTTCTAGAATAGCAAGACTGCGGCTGTTTGTACTTCTGACGGTTACCTTGCTCTACCTTACACTGTAATCTCTGCTGGAAATTTGGAAAAAGCAGGTCTGAACCAAGTAATATCTTCCTCGTTCCTAGAGCGATGAATATTGGTTAGGAATGGTATTGGGAAACTTCCTGTCCTGCAAATGTGTGAGCGTTGGCTGTTGAGAATTTCAGATGTCGCTAGCTTGCTGTGATTGACGTTTTGTTTAAGGACACAGGAGCTGTCATTGTCCCCATTCACTGCCTTCTGGTATGAATATGCTGGCTGGCAAGTCCAGTGCATACTTGTAAATGAAATTAGAAGCAGGAGAGCAACCTCTCCATCTGACTTGAAGGATTACTTAGAAAAGGCACTTCTCTGATCAGACTGTTGCTCTTGAAAATCTAGGATAAGTTTGTGTTGATCGATCAGGCTAGTGCTTTTCTGCTGTTCTTTGATGTGAGCCAATGCAGTTCTCAGTGTTAAAAAAGTCTGTGTCAGGGTGGATTGCCTGCGGTAGTCTTGCATGGTCTATGTACAAGGCAAGCTGTGAGCTCTCCTGGGGTTGAGATGATTTGTGTTATGATTGGAAAGGCACTGTCTCTGGATTTCTGCATTCAGCCTTGATCTTCCCAGCCTCTCCCTCACTTCCTGCTGTTTGTTTGCATCTTGCCTGCTGCCACCCTGTAGGCTCCACGGAGCTGCTGTGTAATACTCATTGCTGTTGTTTGAACTCTCCAGCAGCAGTACTCTAGAGTCAGGGGTTTTTGCCCAGCTTCTTTGAGGCACTTCTCAGGTGCTTCCCGAATGGCTAAGACATGTTTGTGTTGGGTAGGAGCTTTTGTCCGAGCAAACTGGAGGAGTTCTGGGGATGGAAGATTTCAGGTGCAATGTAGAAGTCCCGTTTGCAGGAGAAATCGCGATTTCCATTCCAGTTGGCAGTGTCTTGTGTATGCAAGTCCGTGTTCCCTTCCAACCTTTCTCTGCTACAGGCTGAAGCTGTAAGCAGGCCAAGCATCCAGAAATAATGCCCGTTCATGAGAACAACACTTGTGATAACTTAGATCCTTCTTAGGAAGCATTTGCTCACCCTAGTTGGCAGGTAGCAGTGACAGACTTTTCCTCTTGCATTAGCTAAGCCAGCAATGACTCTGCAAGTCCTAAGTGTGTAAAGTAATAGTGGACTTCTAAAGTAGGATCTCCCCATTCCCACTCAGAGGTAGCCTTTGCCTTCAGAGATATTTCTACTGTCTTTGCCATATTTTTCAACTGCTAGGGCTGGCGCAGGGATTTGAAGAGGTTATGCGAGTCACTCAAAAATGCCACAGAGTCAGGATCAGAGTTGTCTTTGTGGTATTTTACTTTCCTTTCTGTGGCAAGATTTTTCTTTCACTCCCTCCCTTTCCCTTTCCCGTTCCAGACTTTCCAATTTCCACTTTGTGGGATTAAACCACAAGGAGGGAGTGCTGAGAATTTTTCCCTTCGGAAATTAAATTCCTGCCATGTTCCTTTACTCCTCAACCGTGCTTTGTGTGAGAGCTGAACGCACTTCTCCTAGAGCCAGTGAGTGCTGCTTCTGGGGGAGCTGGAGGAGGCTTTGTCGGAAAACGATCCCTATCTCCTGTAGTTCCAGGAACTTTTTCCCTAAAGCTTCCTTTTGTGTCAACCCAGAGACTGAAGGACCACAGTGAAGTTTGGGAGATTCGCTTTCCCAGAGGGAATAGCCCTTAAAGCAGTCCTTTCCCAAAGGAGAGTGAGGGGAACTTGCTGTGCAGAACCATCCATACTAACTGCACTTACACTGGGCTCTGCTACTGTTATACCAGATTGACCACAAGGTACAAGGAGGGTGAGATTCAGCACTTGGGAGAGCTGAAAAGTCCTGTAAAGAGTTAACTCTTTTGAAACTGATGGCCTCACAGGGCTGAGCGAAAAGAGGCCTCATGAAGTGAGCTCATGTTAAGGGGAAACAGAACTTCAAAGAGGCCAGGCATGTTTGTTTAATACTGGTAACTTAATTCAACTCTAATCTGTCGCTTCTGGTTGTTGCCAGCAGAGGTGGAGGAGAGCAGGGCTTCTCCTAGGCGCATCCCCTCATTGGCTCCAGCAAGCCTGAGGGCCTCCCGCTCTCAGCAGTGTTTGCTTAGCTGGAGCTGCTGGATGAGGGTGGTGGTGGAGCTGGGAAATAGCCAGCCATCCTGAGGGGAGCTTTCAGGAGGGCACATGTGTGTGAAGGGAGGAAAGGGAGGTCAAACAGCAAGGAGAAACAGCTCTCAGCTCGTCAGGTTGGTAATTATATCCCTGTCAGGATGGGCTGTCTGTGCGATGGCCTGCTGGAAAAGCTCAGCTATGCCATGCAGCCAGATGGCTGTGGGTTCCCAAGCTTCTCCTGAATCTCCTGTCTCGATATAGCACAGCTTGGAGCTGGGGAGGGATTTCAAATAAATACATACTGCAGGTGAAATGTAGCTTTGGGAGGATTTGCACACAAGAGCTTGAGCTGCAGGAGAAGTCAGGAGTGATCCTGATCCCCTCTGCTCCATGCCCTTTTTATCTGCCTGTGGGATGGAGAGTTTGGAGTTAGGCTCTTCTTGGATTATGGGGCCAGCTGAAAATGAGGCAAACCCTGTCTTGTACTTTCTTCAGTTTCTGCACACTATCTTAGCAGCAGTCAGAGAAGCTAAGCCATTTTGACTTTCCCAAAACGAGGAGAGTTGTTTTATGGATGTTCATCAAGCTTCCTCCTACTTCCCACCCAAAGCAGTGATGCAGAAGCAACAGGGCACTCCTAGTTTTATCTCTTAACAAGCAAACCCCCAGTGTCTACCTCCAGCACTCCGCTCTTCACTCGTAGTATACAGTATCTTATATGAATTTTCATGCCTCTCACCCCATGCTCATATAAACGTATTCTGGGCTCTGAGGAATCTAAGGTGGAGGTGGACTTCTTAAACAAAGTGCCTGTGTTGGATGGAAGTTTTGACCTCTGCTCTAAGAGTAGACTATGTTAGTGATAGTTTCTGAAGTTATGTTGCATAGGAGGCACTAATGACTTGTAGGTTCACTTCAGACTTTTAGAAATTAGCTCTTTTTGATTGTTTGTGGAAGAGCTGTTTGCACTTCAGTTCCTACTGAATCAAGCAGTTGTCTTAGAGAAATATTAGTCTACCACAGCACATACACACAAAATAGCTGAATTAAGATTGCATGGGGAATCTAAATCAAACTTATCACAAGGGATTTTAGACTTCCTTGTTGCATAGTATAGTCGGAACTTCAGACTTAGGGCGAAACAAAGGCGGATGCTCTTTTGCCATCTTCTTTAGGTATTGCAGCGCTCTAAAGCATGGCCAAAGTGCTCTGTATGCACATTGCTAGCGACCCCCATTTTTTCAGTAGAAGGCACTGAAGATAGGTTGGATAGGGAAGGAATTATTCCCCTCTGCCAGGCCTGGGTGCTTTTCCATTTGAGTCATATAGCTGAGTCAATATGTGCCAACTAATACTGTAGCAGATATGAGGGAGAAGATGCTGTGTCAGATTGCATGGGGAATCTAAATCAAACTAAATCTCAAGCTGTGAGCTTAAAGGTTTAGATTAAGCTGTGACTCACATGGTCATTGTACTAGTCTGTTAGGTAGAAGTGTAAATTGGGGCAAAAGTAGAGATTGAAGGAGTAAAATATATAGGTCACATAATACTTTTGTGTTTTCCATGCTGCTTAATTTTTCTAGACTTCATACTCCTTGGGAAATCTGTGAGTAACTTATGCTTTCATTACTCTTAAACAGGAAAAAGTAACAATAGTGTTTTCAGCTCACCAAGTAAGCAGAACAGAGATTTGGAAAGCTGTTTTGGAGAATCCTTTTCCATTATGAACAGTAGAGAAAGTTCAGTGCTGCCGGAATATTATTAGAAAAGACCTGAAGATGAAGATTGTCACTTATTTACTTTAAATCACATCTGGAGAGAACATGAGCTAGACACACTGAGGTGCAGCCATTAAGGTTCAGGGCAAAACAGACTGAAGAGGGAAATATGAGACTGTGATAAAAAAATCACTGAGAAGGAAGAAAGAGATAAGAGACTGGTTAATGATTGTAGTTTCTGGGGGCAAACTACTACTACTACTACCCTCAGCAAGGAGGGAAGTATAAGGGAAATCCCCTTATCAGCTGAGGCATGGTCTTGCAGACAAGGAATGCATTTGGTTCTTTTATCCATGGGAAAATTAAATTTCACAGACTGGAGGAAAGTTCAGTCCTTTGTAGCCCATGCAATACCCATTGGAAGAGGATCTTTGAGAAGTTATTTTCCTTTCTGAAGTGGTTCGTGGCATGTAGAGCTGTGAACACCCTGGGGGAAAAGAAACCAAATAGGGGCCATGTCGGGTACCTCTGTGAGGTATCTTCAGGCCATAAGCTCTTCCACGCAGGGAGGTGATGGCTCTGCTC